TCTCTGTCAGTTTCTTGTGTGCCATCCACATATCAATCATCGATAACTTCAGTTCTTTTTACTTTTCGGATTTCTTCTAATTTACTGTATCACTTGAGTTTGCTCTATGTATGTCTTATCCAAAGTCAACGTCTTTTCATCTGCGTCTTGATTCAGTTGACCCTGTTTCGCTCTGTCGTATCTATCTAATGGATTCCATTTTGTCTAATTGACTCTGGGGTCAACCGTTTTATCTCATATTTCTGAGTAGCGGCATTTGCCGTCCACAGCCTTTTCTGGTTAGTATTTTTTTTTTCCAGTGGTCACATACGTGTCAGAGATTCAACTAGCCAGACAGAAATGTGATTCCTCTCATAGACACTTCTTCTAAGTGATTTTGTGTATTCTCATTCGTGCTTCTGTACGAGGAGAAGTCACTAAGTAAGTCACAAATAGTAAGTTTAAAAAAAACACAACTAAAGACGATAACAACTTGAAAATCGTTTTTTTTACACATGCACCGTCCCTTTAATTTGGGGCTGTAAGATCTTCCAGAAGTTGCCACCATAGATGTTCAATTTTTTTCCTGTGTTAACCGAGGCATATATGGTATGGCATTGTCATGAAGGAGCAGTACTCCTCTAGTCAGTAGGCCTTGACCTTTTCTTCGAATTGCGTCATGCAGCATCGATAGCACTTTACAGGGCAAAAAATTGTCAGCATAAACAGGAAGCGTTTCCTTATGACTTACCTTTGCAGGCAGCCCCCCCCCCCCCCCCAAAAAAAAAAAAGCCCACAGCAGCACGTTGTTCTTTGAGGGTCAATCCGTTAGTACTGTCGCCATTTTGTTTTTGCTCTGCGGATGCCTATGCAACACCTTGCGCCACCTAACGAACGGAGACATAAAGCTTGATCTTGCTGTCACCTAATGACACTTTAGAAACCATCTGCCATTCTATAACCATGTGTGACTTACTTATTGACTTCCCCTCGTCTATTCACGTAATGTGCTGATGAGTGTACCCTAACCCTAACCCTAACCCTAACCCTAAACTTTACTGTAGAGAAATCGCGAGAAACTACAACCTGAACACCCTAGAATTTATTGGGAATGTCTCCCGTGACGTTGTCGTGACGTCAGGGGTAAGTTATAAATTAAGTACCGTTCTCTAGCCACGACATTCACTTATAGTTTGTGTCTGTGATAATATGACTCTTACTAGTTTTACATTTCGTTTGGTTTGGTATCTTTTCAAGATACTCTGAGTAACATCCACACTGGGTAAAGTAATTAAACAAAACAAACTATGAAGTGAGAGTTCAATGGAATTAGATACACGGACGTTTTGTGTTTAGTTACATCTGGATATCTCGATGTGCCATAGTTGTTTATGTATATGTGTATGTGTTTATGTACAGCGGCGTCCGTGGCTAAGGCGTTGCGAGTCCGACTCGTAAGCCAGCATACCGCGATCGAAACCCACTGCAGGCTGCGCGGATTTTTATCGTGGTATGGGACGTCGCAGGTCGACCCAGCCTAAAATGGGTACCAGGATGGGCTGTCCTGGGAAAGTAAAGACAGCCGGCGTAATGCTGACCACATTACCCACAGAGTGCTGATGGTCTGTAAAAATATGGGACGCTCTGCCCATATGCCCGATGCGCCGAAAGGCGTGAAAAGGGATCTTTACTTTACTTTACTATGTGTTTATGTGCACTTGCGCGTGTGTAGGTGAAGTTGATGTTGGTGATCGCAATATGGGAAGAAGCAAGAATGTTTTCAAAACAGTCGGCACTTTGTTCTTCTCCCCCCCCCCCCCCCTCTTCCCTTTCCATGTAGTCCCCAATGAAGCACATGCGCTCAACCAACTCATGCTAGGTCATCCTGTCTTTTGCAATAGTATGCAGCTCACCCCATGTCTTCTTCATTGCCCAACTTCACTTTCTAGTTTCATTCTCCCTCTTTGTATTTTTGTGTGTGCCTTTTTGGTTACCCTGTGAGTTCCAGTGCAAAGATATTCTAGTTATATTTTCTCAAGTTTTCTCAGCGCATGTCCTAATCTCACTCTTATTTCACTGTATTTGTTATAGTTCTCTCCCAAAGCTCCACATAGTGATTCTTCCATATCAATTTATTCCCTCTTCTTTGCACAGAGACCATATAATGAATCTTTATTGTTTATTTAGCTATTGTATCAGTTCTCATTGATTCAGCTATGGACAATAGCAATAACTTCGAATTAGAGCCAAATACGCCCTAGATTTAATTTCCCCTGATTCCCATATATTTTGCAGATTATGTCTAGGCATATGAATACTATCAGACAAAAGAAACAAACACAACAAGGCAGATTTCTTCAATTCTAACCAGTTTAAGCATGTGGCAGGGAGTCCTGAACAAATAGTTAAAAAGCGAAAACTATTTATTTGAGCCCCAGATTTGTGATTTTACGGAAGAATGCTAAAATTTCATGCAACCAAAATAAGCAATAGTGGTGTTTGGAAAGAAGTTTATCGCACACATAGAAAGGTTCTTCAATTTGTATTTGGAACACATCATGAGAGAAACACTAGAAAATAATGAAACATCTATATCCATCTGCGGAAGACCACTATGTAATTTACGTATTGCAGACGACGTTGATCTCATGGCTGGTTCCTAAACAGAACTCCAAGAACTTACTATTAAATTAGAGACTATCTGTGGTAGATTGGCATAGACTTTATTGCTGAGAAAAACAAGATTCTGGTAAATAGAATAATCAAGTACCTACCAATATACATATAAAAGGGAAAACATTAGCAGAAATTGAAACCTTTAAATAGTGTGTCTCCCCCACATATGTAACGATGGCAGTTGTACCAAAGAGATCAAGGCAAGACTTGGTATGGCAACTGCCGTGATGTCCCAGCTGAATACGACGTGGAAGAGCAAAACCAGCATCGCACGCAGTTAAGGTTAATATTTACAAATCGCTGGTATTGTCTCTTTTCTCATAGGGATGTCAGAGTTGTACTGTCACTGTGGAAATGGAAAGGATGATTCTGGCTTTCGAATATAAACGCTAAAGACCCATTTTACGAATTAGTTATTTAATAAATATGTCAGAGACCTAATATACAAATTTGCAGCACATCAGAAGCCTCTCTTGGCAGTGGTGAAACGTCGCAAGGTTGCTTGGTTTGGGCACGTGGTAAGGCATGATTCGATTGCAAAGACTGTTTCAAGGAACATTGGGAGGTAGCTGAAGAAGACGAGGGCAAATAAAAATATGGAACAACTTCAAATAATTGATAGGACTAAGTTATCATACACTTATTCATAAAGCGGTAGACAGAGAAAGATGGCTGGTTTTATGTGCTATTGCTTCCATCAATACACCCCCATGACCCTAACGGGTCAAGAGATATGTTATTTTATCACACACATCAGAAAAAAAGTACTAATCGTTTAAGCCACGTTTTTTTTAAATATACACACATCATTACAGTTGTCGTATAAGAATTGTAATGATCTATGTAAGGACAGAGGATGAGAGAATATGCTTGACAGCATTTCTTTTTGGCATGGAAGGGTGCTAGCACACTAAATAATACATGTGGTTGAAAAATGAAGAAGTACGATCGCCTATGCTGTCGGTATATATATATATATATATATGTATATATATATATATATATATATATATATATATATATATATATATATATATATATATATATATATATATACAGACAATACATACACACAAACATACATCCATACATATACCCACCCACCCACACACACACACACACACATATACCCATACAGGTGTACCATTCACACAGTTGACTTCTTGGTGTTTACTTACACATACAGAGGTGTCGCTTTCCGCTTCAGAGCCTATCACTAATACTGTTGAACGGCAGCTTGAAAGGAATTGTCGATTACTTATTGTCGCTGTACATGTATGGCGAGCCCTGTAACCAGGTGCAATACGCTATGAAAGAACGCGATATTTGCTTTGAAGCCTTTTGTAAAATTTTCGCAGCCAGCTTCAGTGTAGTGTGTGTGTGTGTGTGTGTGTGTATGTATATGTGTTTACGCGTGTGAGAATTTGTGAATATGTGATGTGCGCGTATGTATGTGCATGTGTTTGTGTGCGCGCGCCTCTTGACTATCCGGTCTGCTGTTTGCGCCTGATCCACAAGTTACTTGTCATATCCTGATTTCTACCAATTCCAGCTTCGTAAAGCTGTCGTCTACGATTTGCTAAATTAAAATTTGATTTGTATACGAGAATGCGCCGAATACAGGACAATAAGCCGGCTAATGCGTATGAATAATTATATTTAGCCTTTACTCTCCACCGTTATAAGTTAGATGTATTGTCGATGATGAATTACACCCCGTCTTTTACGTTTGTTGAATAGCTTATTGACATATTGTGTTTTCAGCAGAATGCGCGTGTTAATCTGCTACAATTCAGTATGAAGTAGAATAAGTCAAACTATGTGTGTAATGACTCGATGACGTCTCAGAAAGTTTCAGGTTCAGAAATATTATTAAAAGCAATAAAAATATTGTCGATTGCTAAGACTTACACACGCTTAAACAGACTCGCGTGTACATAATTTTTTTTTGGAATATAACAATTCATCAAATGTGGCAAATATGTGATACACAAACTAATGTATCCGAGATTTCATTAGCAAAGTGTAAACTATATACACTTTGAGAACTATATACAGATGACAAACTAAACGTATACGGATGTACACATTTCTCAAAACACCTGCACTAGTATATTAGATAAATAGATTACACATGCGAGTTTTAGGCTATATGCACACAGCCCTAGCTCCGTATTTCAAAGTGCGCGTGACTTGGAGACAAATTTTTTAGCGAAAACGAAGGTACGTGTAGCAGGATGGAAAACACAGACACGTGACACCAGTTGGAATCATTTCTATTTGAGCCGTGGTTTCCTTGTGATTTGCCTATACAGGAGATTTTCAGTTTCCTAACAATTGTATCCATGACAAATCGATTAAAAAGACGTTACAGTCAAGCCTTTTTGGTAAGTTTGTCACATCCAGTTAGAAGGAGTGTGTGAAATCTTTTACATAACAGTTGTGTAATATATATATTGATGTCATCCATTTTGCAACATTTTCTTTTGTTTTTATCACCGTTTTAATTGTCTTTTTAAGACATTCCGTACTTCTTGCATTCGTCGTGCAGTTAATTTCTTTAGCTAGTACTTGTGTTATCCTTTGTAAATTTATACATTTGTCCTCATAACGTTTGTAGTTACATATTTGTTTCATGTGAACTGTGCTAAATTTATTTGTGGAAATTTTACAATCTTTTCTTCCATTAGCAGGGATTTTGTTGTTGTTTTTGTTGAAAGTCGGAAGGGGGATTTGATTTGGGGGGGGGGGGGGGTGAGAAGCCCTGGTATAGCGTATACGCTTACAGATGACAGTTACAACACACACACACACACACACACACACACACACACACACACGCACACACACACAGCACTCACAAACAGAGATGTGAATTTAACTTTCTATGTATCTCTTTCTTTTAGATGAACGATGGACGAAAAAGTCAGGTAGTTTTGTTTGATGAAAGTCGACTGGATATCATTATACAGGTAAGCATGTTAACCTGACCTCTCTGAAAGACCCTGTACTCTCGTACGTTCCCTGTCTCTGTCTCTCGTGATCTGTAACTAAATCATCACATATTTAGGCAAGTTTATCGTCCTTTATCGGCAGTTTGAGTGTACTCATTTCATGTGATCTTTCTTTAACTGTGAGCTAACTGTCCCCAGCAGCACACAATTGCCAGGTCAGGCCGTTCTATGTTTTCATCCACCTCACAATAGAAAGTTTTGTTGTAAAATATTGCCCTGTGCTCACAGGTCAACCTAACTTTAAATAAGAACAGATACATTTCATAGGAAGTAAATGTGACCTGTGTGATATTACACACATACACACATGACTAATATGGCATATTGGGCGCGACGCAAGGCTTTAAACGCGGTCATTGTTTGTTCCCCACACGAACACCTGTATGTTTTAAATATGAAGGGGAAAGGGGGAAGGTAGATAATTACCAGTCAGAATGTTAGGATTCGACAGGAAAGAAATATAAGTAATTATCCCAAAAGTAATGTTCTTTTCTTTCTTTAACGTTCGGTATTTTTCCCACATTCACTTTATTGGATAATAATTTTACCTTTTATTATAATATCCCACTATGGTTGTTTACTTGTCTTTGATATAACTACTACCTTCTTTTTTTAGTAAAGTACAGGCCCTTTTTTGCACTCTCCTTCACTACAATGTCCAATAACTGTTGTAGACTTTCAGCTATCAGTACAGTGTCATCTGCATAACTTATGTTGTTAACAATATGACTCCCTACTCTAAAGGCGTGTGTATCTTTGATCTCTCTCAGTATCAGCTCTCTCTCTACACACACACATACACACACAGAGAGAAAGAGAGAGAGAGAGAGAGAGAGAGAGAGAGAGAGAGAGAGAGAGAGAGAGAGAGAGAGAGAGAGAGAGAGAGAGAGAGAGAAGAGGTAAGGCGACAAAACACATCCTTCTCTTACTTCTTTGTTTTATCTGATCGTATGTGGCCATTCTATTTACTATTTTGATAGCTGCCACTTGCTTCTTCTTTTTCTTCTTTCGTTCGCCTGAAATAAGTTGTCTATATCAGCAATTTTGTCTCTTGTATAAATTTCACTGTCGTTGTTAGTTCATTCAGTGGTCCATAGAGTTTACTTTCCACTGTGCTTTCTGGCTAAAAAATTTGTCTTAATGTGTTAAATTCGGTGCAGTCCCGGAGTACATGCTCTGCTGTCTGGGGCACTTTCCACAGGTGCACACGGCAGATACGCCTTTCTTGAATTTTGTGTACATGTAGTTACGTAATCGGTTGTGCCCCACTTATTTCTAATACATTTTCTTATTTATTCCTAATGTCGGTAAATATTTTGACGATTTCCTGGTGTTTTACCTTGAGTTATGAGTTATGATATGGGTTATCTTTACAGCACTCCGGACACGTCCATAGGTGCTCAGATTCCCCATTCAACATATACATCGGCGTCCCGCGGTTGACAGGACTTCTCCTGCGTCCGGTGTGATTCTCGTGTGCCAAACAGTACAGATCTTTACTGCCAATTCTTGCATTCTTAGCAAAGATGTGTATGTGCTGCTCCCAAAATCTCCGAACGTTCTACCTCTCTAAGGCATTAACAATGTCTGCATGATCCATGGACCGGCCCTCTGTTACTAAGGCAGTGCCGGCTAATCTTTCATTGCCTACAACACCCGCATGGCCTGGGACAAAGTTGATGGTAACTTCACGTACAGAGAAGGGTGCTATGTGGTCTCGATGCATGGTGTCCGCCTCGAGTGTTAGAGGTTCCGGGTTAAATCCCCAGTAATGGCTAAGATTTTTTTTCACGTGGACTTGGACTTCTAGTAATTCCCCCTAGTCTCTAGGTAGTGAGTTCTGAACGCACGTGTGCATTGTTGCGCACGTAAAAAAATCAATTTGCAGTTGGAAATAAAAAAAAGAGTAGCCTAACGGTGTTGCCCGGGCAACAATTTGGAGTTAAAAATCTACCCAAAGTATTCTAGGATCCTCGCCGGTGCTACAGACCCTGTGCACTGTGCTTAGCTTTTTCGGACTCAGACTTGAGTTAGAAGATGAGCGGAGAACTTATGGGTATGGCACCCGTGTGCCATGATGTTGATCCGTTGTTCAAACACCAAACCTCAAACACTAAGAGGCGTTTTGAAATTACTCGATCCACTGTCTGCGAATAAAGCCCTTTTACCGTGTTTTACCTTATAAAATAAGTAAAGATCCCTTTATAGGCCTTAAGGGGTATCGGCACATGGGAAGAGTGCCCATATTTTTACAGACCAATCGGCACTAGGTGGGTAATGTAGTCAGCATTACGCCTGTCGTCTTTACTTTCCCAGGACAGCCATCCTGGTACTCTTTTTAGGCTGGATCGACTTTCGACGCCATACACCATGATAAAAATTCACGCAGCCAGCAGTGGGTTTCGATAGCGGTACGTTGGAATTACGAGTCGGACTCGCAACGCTTAAGCCACGGACGCCACCTTATCAAATACTTTTGAATAATCTGTAATCCACAGATGCGATTATTTCTGGGTTTTAATTGATCTCTCTATCAGTGTTCTCATGTGAATATTGCATCATTTGTTCCTTTTTCCTCCAAAAAACCACAATGTTTTTGACTAAAGTCCATCTTTACTTTTTTATTACTGTTCTTCTCATTAAAATTCTTAACAAAAATTTTGTTATATGATTTATGAGGTTGATTGTTCTAAAACCATCACAATCCATAGCACCGGCCTCTTGGGTAAAGCTATAAATACGGACTTTAAGCATATCTGCAGGTAGGTATCCGCTATCATAAATATCGCTCATAACTTTTAGTCAGCAGATCAACTCCAAATTTATCCAGGAATTTTTCTTCTTCTTCTGTTATTTCGTCTGGTCCAGCTGATTTTTTCTTTTTTTTTTCTTCAAATGTCTGGTGGCATCACGGACTTCCTCTTTAAATTTGATTGAATTTTGTTGCACTGTTCATTTAACCAATTTTCTATTGCGTTGACACATTGATATCTAATTATTTTTTTTAAATTTATCTTATCATACTCTTTCTCCTTTCTACTTTGTTTTCTTCTGTCGATCAGTTGCGGTGCGCAGCAGATGCAAAGCAGGTTAAATGGGGACATTTTGTTAATGCAGTTTAAAGGAATAAATTATTGAGAGGGTTCTGAAAACTTCACAGACCTTCCTTCAAAATCACCAGCTGTATTTGTGAAGTTTTAGGCCCCCCTTCAAAATCACCAGCTGTATGTGTGAAGTTTTACACCTGCCTTCAAAATCACCAGCTGTATGTGTGAAGTTTTACACCTGCCTTCAAAATCACCAGCTGTATGTGTGAAGTTTTACACCTGCCTTCAATATCACCGGCTGTATGTGTGAAGTTTTACACCTGCCTTCAATATCACCGGCTGTATGTGTGAAGTTTTACACCTGCCTTCAATATCACCAGCTGTATGTGTAAAGTTTTACACCTGCCTTCAATATCACCGGCTGTATGTGTGAAGTTTTACACTTGCCTTCAATATCACCGGCTGTATGTGTGAAGTTTTACACTTGCCTTCAATATCACCACCTGTATGTGTGAAGTTTTACACTTGCCTTCAATATCACCAGCTGTTTGTGTGAAGTTTTACACTTGCCTTCAATATCACCAGCTGTATGTGTAAAGTTTTACACCTGCCTTCAATATCACCAGCTGTATGTGTGAAGTTTTACACCTGCCTTCAATATCACCAGCTGTATGTGTGAAGTTTTACACCTGCCTTCAATATCTAAGAAATTTACCTAAAAACTCACCTGCCTACCTGGCTGTCTGTTTAACTGCCTGCCCCATTGCTATCATTTCTTCACAAGCACCTATGTTACTTACAATTACAACTTCTCGTCTATGGTACCCATCAGCCCAAGTTGTACGCCAGCGAGTTATTGGATCTGGTAGCCTCCCACTGTCAGTTGAAGGAGAAGCTCTACTTTGGTCTTGGTTTCATGGATGAGACGTAAGTAAGACTCTAGTACAGTCCTTTCCTGCCTTTCTGTGTCAATACTTTCATAAACGCTCCTTTGATTTAAGTAACATTATCAGTTATAAAACAAGTATGTTAAAGTTAGAAAGTAAATTAAACGACCCCTATTTTCACCTTCAAGCGTATTGGGCATATAGGGCTTGATCTATATTTTATAGACTAATCGGCCACAGTTACTTCCCAGGACTGTATCTGGTACCCACTCAAGGCTGGGTCGACCTAGGAGCCGAGGTCATTTGTTTAAAAAAGGTCCGCCTCTGCCAGGACCCGAACCCACGGCACAGTCTTTCGATTCACAGGCGAGCTTCTAGCCACTACACCACTGCGGTTCCCAGGCTAAACTCAAAACCAGTTATATACACGAAGTGTTTGACTTCCATACAGAATCACCAATTATGTGTGTGAAGTGTTGGACTTCCATACAGAATCACCAATTATGTGTGTGAAGTGTTGGACTTCCATACAGAATCACCAATTATGTGTGTGAAGTGTTTGACTTCCATACAGAATCACCAATTACGTGTGTGAAGTGTTTGACTTCCATACAGAATCACCAGTTACGTGTGTGAAATGTTAGACTTCCATTCAAAATCACCAATTATGTGTGTAAAGTGTTTGACTTCCATTCAGAATCAATTTACGAACACAGTAGACCCTAATGCTTTGTCTAGAATACACAAACATTTAACCCCCGTGTGGGTTCCGGGGCTCCATTGTAGGGAAAACAAGAATAGACCCACTGCCTCTCTAAAAGCATGTCGTAAGAGTCGACTAATTGGGGAGCTTCCTTTGAAGTCGGTGTGCATCTGCCGGAGAGGCAAGGAACCAACAGTCTGTATTCAAGAGAATTAGATCTGTAACACTGATGCACACGCAACACTCGGGTTCTGGAGCAGGACTGCAGTTCAGTAGTGGACGATCAACCAGAACTTTCCGCCAGAGTGTACAGCTGGTGAAGTCGAAGAAGAAGAAGAAGACAAACATTTAAGAAAGGAATTTGATTGTGGTTACCATAACATCTTGTTCTGTCAGCGCAGAGGTAGAAGTCCAATGTCCGGGAGTCATGACCCGGCTCGCCCTATGAGAATGTCTATGAGTTAAACTTCCCGAAACATTTGTCGACAGGGGACTCCTGGTAGGCTTCTGCTGTGCGTGCTCCCGTCGTGTTATACTTCTTTTCTTGTGACTTATAAACTTATTCTTGGGGATTATCCCAAAAGTTTTTCACGTAAACTACCGTGCCAATTTGAAGAGAAAAAAAAAAAAAAAGCTATTCAACTGATAAATTGTATACCCTAAGAAGCCCGTCTCTCTAGCGTAGTTGGCTAAACCGGATTGCGCGGTGAGCGGGTGACGAACTTCTTGTGGTCCGGGTTCACTCCCGGGGGTGGGCAGAAAAGCCACATTTTCTCCCATATTTACGGTATTTACAATGGAATCAAGGCCGAAAGGTTGCGATATCCATAATACCGAGCATAAGGGTTAACAACTCATGGCTTCTGGATACTAAAACAAACATACCTTAAGAAAGTCGAAAGAACGTAAAACATATTAGTACTAGGGCCAACGCTTCAGTTTCCTTATGTCTTTTACGTCTTCATCTCTTTTTTTTTTCCAACTTCGTCCACCAGAGAGCTGTCCTTCAGACTAAACGAAGAAATACAATTTAGAATACAATCTATAAAATAGCGTATACTAAGGCCGGCCAACAACATCTATGACAATCGAAAGTTCTGTCTCCTAACACCAAGATCACAACGTATTCAGTTTTGATAAGATCAGTTGTCCTTTACGGCTCTGAAACCTGGAACACGTCAAGAAGAGACAATGCCATATTACAAAACTTTGTGAACAGGATCACACAGGGAATCTCTAGATCCATTCAAGATGAAAACATTGGAGATGGGAGAGGGACAAAGCAACATTGAAATGATAGTCTCCTTGAAGCACCACTAATTACCAGCATCGTGAAGACTGTACAGACTGTGATCGTGCTGTGGAGTACATAGATAGAACACGGCAAAAAACAATGTGGGAGTACAAAAATAGAACACGGCAGAAAGCAATGTGATGACAAGTGCGCACTCAAAATAACCGTACAAGCGTAGACCACGAGGCAGGCCAAGAAGACGGTGGAGAAATAATTGACAGGTAGAACTACAAACAGTTAAAAGAAAGCCAGTCACATAGAGCATGGGTAATATCTGCAGCAATGAACCCCGAGGCCTCGAATGCCGAAAAAGAAGAAGAAATATTAAACTCTGTTTAGTTTTTGGGAACTCATTTATTTATCGTATAAAACTAAGCACAGTAAGCAAAAATTTGCAAGTTTTTGCAGGCAAGTACAGGCTGTGGTTATTATTTTCCAGGTCTTTAACATAGATATTATTGCTAAATTCTTTTTTGGTGCCTTTGTGTACTTCAATACCATTGAAGTAAATGGATCTCAAAAGCATCATCCTTATTTTTCATATTGGACACAGGCATAACTTTGTCTGGCTTCAGGGAGAGAAAAGAGTCCTGGACCACGAGTTGGCAAAGAAAGCAGAGCTACTGGTTTTTTACTTGGCAATCAAGTAAGTAATTCATTGAATGTCATTATTTGTGCACCAAACAATTTGCATAAAGCGTATTGTTGAAATAACCAGATGTATATCTCAAACAGCCCTTCCAGTTTAGTTTTTGCAAATGACACGAGAATGTCTGCGATTAACGCTCGCGCACACACACACATAAACTACACACACATGTGAACACACACACACACACACACACACATATATATATATATATATATATATATATATATATATATATATATATATATATATATATATATATATATATATATATATATATATATATATATATACTCCTTGAGAATGAAAGTACATGTGGTGGGAGAGCTGGCGAGAGACCGAGTTTCTTTCAGGTAGACTGTGATGAGAGCGACCTGCTACATGATTATATATATATATATATATATATATATATATATATATATATATATATATATATATATATATATATATATATATAGTGCGTTAGGCAAATGTAAGAGTTCTTCTCTTGATATCTGGTTTGGGGCAGACAATATTATTTACGACTCTTTTTTTCTCGTAAATAAGTTAGCAAAACTAACGGTGCATATAAAGGCATTATTTGACGTCTCTCTAGCTGGTCAGTTGTTTCACGTTCCGGTCACTTTGTCTTTGTATATTGAAAAAAAAAACACACACACACACACAAAGACTTTCTAACACAAATGCTGCCGAGATATTCTCAAAGATGACATATTGCTACCACATCGTGTAGATATGGCAGAAGCTGACCGCCTGAGAAGAAGCACCAAAACAACAGGCTAGGCCAACAATACTACTGAGATCCCATACTCTGACTGTGGTAGACTCGTCTTAACGCGACTGGGTGTTGCTAGTCACCCTCGCCATCGCCATAAACTTTAGAGTCTCATGTCTTCCTGCAGCACAATATAACACTATCGCCTGGAAAAACTGAAAGATGCCAGCAACAACGACAACAAGAATTGGACATTGTACAATATTCTAACCGCTCACTTTGGAAATTATTACTTCTACCAAATCTAGATAAAAGAAAGACTTTCAATGCAAAAAAAGTACAGTCTAACTATTCATGGTTTAAATATTTAATCAACAAAGTTTAGCACACTCCCCGTCCCCATAGGGCATGCAATTTTGTATGTGTGTGTGTGTGTGTGTATGTATGTGTATGCGCACCTATATGTGTGTGTGTAAATATCGCATGGATGTATGCAACTTGGGGAAAAAAAGTGTTTAGCAAATATAGCATCAATAGATTACAATCAGTTATTTAAAACAAAAAAAACAAATTGAAGACATCAATAATGGATCAAGCAGACGTCACACTGGACAAAAGAAGAATTAAAAAAAACCCGACTTGTTTACGTATTTACGTAATAATTTTTATTGCATAAAATCTCTCTTTCTCCCTTTAACACCCCCCCCCCCTTTCTCTATCGCTCTATCTGTCTGTCTCACTCACTCACAAACACACACTCTCACACACACACACAAACACACACACACACACACACAAACACACAAACACACACACACACACACAAACACACACAAACACAAGACAACACAATGGAATTATGATACGCACTGGCCATGCAATGGAAGCTTTTAAAAACATCTTAACAAGATATAGAATTTAAAAAATTAGTTTTTAAATCATGCTAAGTATTGTAAATTATAATGTTATTTCAGTGTTAACATACGACAATGCAAGTTGGACAACCACTAAAGACATGGAACGAAAGTTAAATGCCTTCGAAAACAAATAAATACGAAAATTGATAATAAACCTTAAATATGTTGCATTCCAGAAAGAAGAATAAATAAAAGAAATATCAAGTGAACTAGTGTTATCAACAGTTATAAGATATAATATGCGGTGGTATATTGGGCACATCCCGAAGAGAAACGGACAGAGAATCACCAAAGAGGCAATGAATTGGGAAACAAGTGCACTGAGGTAACTAAATGTCCGGAGAAAACAAAAACACAACCTAATAGTAACTTGCTGAGAGAGGTTGAAAGTGCTTGACTACATTGACGTCCATGAAATGGAAAGTTTTGTCTAGGATAGAACCTAATGGAAGACTACTCTGTGACCCCCTCGTGACGTGTGACAGCAGGGCAGGATGATGGTGATGATGATGATGATGATGATGATGGTGATGATGATGATGACGATGATGATGATGGTGATGGTGATGATGATGATGGTGACGATGATGATGATGATGATGATGATGATGATGATGATGATGATGATGATGGTGATGATGATGATGCTGACGATGATGATGACGACAATAGTGTGTGTAAGAAATCATGTAAGTGTAGTTTAAATAAACTGTCCCTATTATTTTCTAGAATGTTCACATTGCAACCTGAGGGAGGACAATGCTAGTGAACATAGTCAAACTACATATGATACTTTTTTTTTTACAACAGATCATCAAGGAGGTGGATGAGCGGAAGACTTGAGAAAAACGATGATAAATGGTGTAGTTGACACCGGCAAAATGATTAACAAATCCATCTCTCGGAACCTCAGAAGCGCAAAACAAATACAGAAAAATTCGACACTGGGTTACCATCTTGGTATCAGTAAGACGAGAAAAGAATAAGACGGTAAACAGAGAGATTTGGAAATGAATTCATTGTAGTCAATACAACGTTTACATTTGCTTTTTAACACTTACTATTTTCTGTTTAATTGGAACTGCACAACAGGTTCTATGTGGATACAATACGACTGTTGCGCGATGTACAAACTATGGAGCTCTTTTATCTAAATGCAAGACGGCTTGTCTATCAGGTAAGTCAGTGTCAGATGCTCACACAGTCCAGTGATATAAACATAAACATTAGCACATCGGTGGTTCAAACTGAGACACTCATGTATACCATTAAAATTCGAAAGTTCATAAGCTGTCTAAATTAAAACACTGATTTGTAGAATAAATGTTATAAATATACATATAAGATTTGCAATAGCAGTACAGTGTTCAATGGTGAACCAGTAGAGAAAGAAGATTATTATGGCCTGGAGAGAATGAGGCCCCTGGGTGTAACCAGAGGGAATGACTGGCTCACTACCCTCAGAGAAAAGGCAAGATGGACTTTTAACCAGAATGTGACTGGTACTAGTGGAACTCTGCGCTGGCTGCTGAAGATGAGGACGGAGCATGCATGGAAATGCCCCGAGTGCTGTGATGTCAATTCTTGACTCAGCTCAACTCAACTCAATGATTAATGGTGGAAAGGCCATAGACGCAATATTAGCAAACGTCTTAAAGTAACCGTCGGATCTGTGGCTAAGTCGATGCGAACGCTTCGTAATGCCGGGATGCCGGGTTCGATCCCAGCTGCGGGCCATGCGCCTTGCTTTGGTTTCGACAGTGGTATCAGGGGACCGACCGTCCAGAAGCAATGGCAAACTACTGGACGTAAACTGCCTAGAGAAACCACACACCAGCCAGGGGCTGCTGGGTGTTGGTTCTGCAACGTCCTGTAAAGGATACGCAACTAACCTTAAAGTAACCACTCTGATTACCGATTAGTGATTTACATACCTATATCATAGCACAGCCGGTATATCCGCAGAAGCTCCGTCTTTCACAGCAAATGTCTTAAGGTGTAGGTGCTGACTGTTCTAACTATACATTCATCGTTATTTTCCTCCTTGCCGGCCCCACTTCTCATTCTACGTTCACATAACCGTGTTATTTTATCTAACCTCGTGTTTTCTCTCAGCATTCGTTCATAAATTCAGAATATTCCCTTTGTCCAGTAAGGCTTTTCATGTAACTATAGCTTTTGTAGCAACAACAACAACAACAAGCAAAACGAGCTAATATGTTGATGTGCTGAGGCTTGGTATTCACTCATACTAAATCAGTCCACCTGGAACCTTGCGCAGTACTGACTGAGAATCGGACTCTATAATTCCTCTAGTAGCTCTAATTTCTGCTATTATCCACTGCTATGTGCTATCCAGAGCTGCAGTGACTGCATCTACCTCCATCCTGATACTTGATTTTGTAGACAAGAAAGAACCATTTTGTTTTGTTCTTTCATTTGTCTGAAATAAATTATCTATATCTGCAATGCTGTCTCTAGTAAGAACTTCACTGTCTTTTTGTAATTCTCTATGAGATTTAAACAACAGATCAACATCATGGCACACGGGGAGAAACCCACTGGTGCTCCGTTCTTCTTCTAACTCAAGTCTAAGTCAGAAGAAGCTCAGCACAATGCACAGGCTCTGTGGCACCGACGAGGATCCTGAAATACTTTGGGTAGATTTTGTAACTCCAAATTTTGCCCGGGCAGCGCAGCTAGGCTACTCTTTTCGATTTCCAACTGCCAAGGGATTTTTTACGTGTGCAACATTACACACGGGCGTTTTATCTCACTACCCAGAGACCAGGGGGAATTACTAGAAGTCATAGGGTGGCTAGGCATGCTAAGAAACTTGTCTGCTTGTATTAGCATCTTGGTGTCTCTGCGTTCACTCAGTGCTTGGGTCATCCCTATTTTTCTCCATCACAGCCAAAGGTGTTGATTTCATACTGCATGAGGTAACTCTGAGTGCTTGATTTTGCACTTTATCGAATTCTTGTAGTAGGGTTTGTGATGCCGAATTCCACCTGTTAATCCGTTTTCAAGGTGTGATCAAACACTTTGTTGGTAAACTTTCCTAGGTATTTTCCCCACTAGCACCCCGTGTAGTTCCACTTAGTTTTCTCAGGATGGCTACCCACCTTCTGGCTTTGTTTGCTGCCTTGTTGATGTGTTTCTCCGTGTTAATCTAACATTAAACGTTACTCCGGGGTATGTGGGTTCCTTATTCTCTCTCAGATGTACTCCATTAATGTGCATGACGCCTGCTTTTTGTTTTTGAGAGAAGGTGAAGAGGGTGGTGCTGCATTTGCCTATGTTGATTCTGACACACCATTTATCGGCCCATTCAGTCATTGCATCTATGCCTCTTTGTAGCAGTCTGGTGACCACTGTTGCAGGTTCATTTGTACACCATAGTACCAAGTCATCAGCATACATTGCATCTTTAATGTCATGGGGTAGTTCAGAAACCAAGTCATTGATATAGACTAGAAAGAGTGTGGGGAACATGATACCTCCTTGTGGGACGCCATGGCACATAAACACTTTCTTACTCTTAAGTCCATCTATCTGTACTCAAGCTCTTCACCCATTTTTACATATTCCGATCACCTTGCAGTCTCTCAGTTTCTTCGTGATTGCGTTTCTCCATATCTAGGGAACTTTGCTACCGGTCCAACAATGATTAAAGATCTGTAGCAGCTTTATGTTGGCTATTTTCCAAGGCTCTTGGTCGTTTCGTTGGTTATTCCAATTCCAGGCGACCTTTCCATTTTCAGCTTTGATACTGATGAACATAACCATTGTTGTACTGTTAATTCGGCAATACCGTTGCATCAGTTTATACATTGCCTTCCTAGTGTCACAATGACTTGATGGAAACAGCTGTCTTGTATGTTCTTGTTGACTTATTCCTGCCCCCGTGTATGTGATTGACTCAGGCTGCCAGACCGATGGTATCTTCAGCTAGTTCCATTCATGACTTTCTTCCTTTCAACCTTTCTCCTCTAAAATCTCGCAGATTAATATCCAGCAAATGTCTTTTATCAGTGGTAACTCACGTGTAGGCTAATCCTAATGTAGACTTTGCCGATGTCCGTCTCAAGTATATATACCTCATTGTTTTAATTAGGGTATTTCGTTTGCAACCCAAGACTATTCGCATTCCTTTGTCTTGTATCCGTTCAAGTTTTGCACACTGTGAAGTATGTAATATTACAATTCCGAGTCCATAATCAATGACTGATAGGACCAGATGGTTGAACAATAAGACCAGTAGTCTTTGCTCTGTGTTTGTCGCCACCATTGTCTTTAGTACTGTGCTAGCGGAAAGAAAGAAGGGAGGAGAAACAGAAGAAAAAGAGAGACACAGGATCAAAGTGTGATTAGAACAAAAGTGATAGTTCCCCGCTAAACAACAAAAACAGGAAAGTAAGAAAAGACAAGGGTTCTTCTGAGCAGAGATCCTAGAATATTTCACTGAGACCCTACCTATGGATGTCTGTATAATGAGTTACATGACGACGACCTAACTAGATTGGTACACACACCTAGACGAACCACGGACTACAGATCCTAAATTAAATCAAGCAAATGAATTATGATCACATTAAACATCTGTTTATTTTACTCAACATAACATCAGCGTGGTCAACAAATAACGACATTAACAACGTGCTCGACCAGAATCTAAAATGCTTATAATCAAATCTACCAACACTTAGCCAATAAAACGTACCACCGCCTGCGAAATCAATCTGACCACGGCCTTTCCCTGCGGTCGCCATACCTGCCGACTGGCCCATTGTGCAGAGCAGCAACAGCTAGGTAGGTTAGCGCAGGGTTCGTCCGGAAGTCAAATAGGGCAATACTGAATGAGTTTTTCCTATTTATACCCGGTGGCCGCATTTTTCTCCATCTTGCTGTCTGTGGGTTGTTGGTCATTTTTAAACCAGAATAAATAAAATCCTTGAGCACTTAAACAGTAGTTTCCAACCTGTTACAGTACCACAAGATCAGGCTTGCATTTGACCACAGTCTGCTGCATGTGATATTTGTACAAGTAAAGTAAAGAAAGTAAAGATCCCTTATCACGCCTTATGTGCATCAGGTAAATGGGAAGAGCGTCCCATATTTTTACAGACCAATAGGCACTGGATGGGTAAAGTGGTCAGCATTACGCTGGCCGTCTTTACTTCCCCAGGACAGCCATCCTGGTACCCATTTTAGGCTGGGTCGACATGCGACACACCATACCATGATAAAAATCCACGCATCCAGCAATGGGTTTCGATCGCGGTACGTTGGATTACGAGTCGGACTCGCAACGCCTAAGCCACGGACGCCGCATATTTGTACAAGACTGCGATAAAATGTCAACCCCCAGTATTTCAACCTGTCCCTTCTTTCGACATGTATACACTTCAGGGATATGCTAAGCAGGTCTTCCTTGACACAATAACCTGGAAAAAAAATCATAAACTATTTTATTTGATACTTATCAATATAGAAATGTTTAGGACTAATCTAGGTGATTTGTAATCAATGTATCCAGGCATGAGAATTATAATTCTAGCTTATCTGGTACTGATATAACCAGATAAAAGAATTAATTCGACTTTATCAATGACCGTGGAGCGGCTGACCGAACGTATAAGAGCGCTAAGCTGGCATGCAGGGGACCCGGGATCAGATCTTCATAAGGTTATGTGTTACTTTCTGTCGGGGTAAAAATAAAAACAAAATCTGTACATTTCAAGGGGAGAGCACTAGCCATGCGACACTAAACCCTCAGTGTTAAAGATCCTGCCCCCCCCTTTTCCCCGCCCCTTTTTTAACACCGCAAAAGTGTTAACTAAAGGCAGCAGTGCCCGTTTGTATCAAACAACCGATAAATGCCGGTCATATGATGGAAAAGGGGTGGGGAGATTTTGGAGAAAAAATTGTGACCCCTGGGAGGATCAACGACAGAAGAGGGAAAGACACAAAGAGACAGATGATGACAGATGGATTGCAACGGTGGTACGGAGGAGTATCATCAGTAGAACTGACCCAGAAGACAAGGGACCGAGATCTTTGAAGATACATGAACGCCTACACTAGTCGACAGGGCACACGAGGATGATGTTGTTTGATCATTTTTAGTAGCGGCTCGTGTATAAACACTGGAACTGTACCAATTTTCCCACGGTTTTCATTCCATCAATAACATTAGATAAAATCAGTATTTTAAAAACAAATATATCTTTACACTGTCTGTGGCTTAGGCTTTGCGAACGAGAAGCCTACCGCCCAGAGAGAAAATTGCAAACTAGTAGACGTAAATTTGCCTAGAAAAACCACACACACAAAAAATGCTGAGGTTAGTTCTGTATCGTCATGTAAAGGATACGCAACTAACTAACAGGATCTTCATACTTGTACATTGTATAATCCTTTAGCTTAATGCCACTAGCTATCCCTTAGCACAGGGCTTTTTACCTAAGTTTACTCCATGGCCAAAATTTGGAAAATGTAGATCGACACGGACCAGATGCCCAGTCCCGACATAGAAAGAACGTTTATACAATACAACTTGCAGGTGATCCGCGGGCCATTTGTTAGGCTTTCGCGGGCCAGATTTAGACCTCGAATGGACCAGTATGGAACTGTATGTTTCCCAGTTCCAGCGACTCGAACGTGGCTGTTGTGCACATGCGCACATCTTAACGATACAAATCTGCACACATTTTAGAGGTGGTACTTTCGCAAACGTAGGGCCTACTCTGTTTTAATAATATTTTTGCGCAAAGTAAAAGAAAACTGATTGTTATGTTTAAAGGAATAGGTCAAGCGTAACTGGGAATTTAGGCTATTAATAATTGAACACATTTGTGCTTTCAGGATTTTATCAAGTTTATGGAGAAAGTTTCTTTTTATGTTTGTTTCCTTTTTAAACAATATTGAAACAATGACTAAACATTTTCGGAAGCATATTCTATCTAGCTGATTTTAGTTTTGTTGTTTCGCTTACCGATATATCTAAGTATGTCGACTATAATGTTAGCTTACCTGTTACCGAGGTATCTAAGTAGGTCGACTATAATGTTAGCTTACCTGTTACCGAGGTATCTAAGTAGGTCGACTTGTTAGCTTACTTGTTACCGAGGTATCTAAGTAGGTCGACTATAATGTTAGCTTACCTGTTACCGAGGTATCTAAGTAGGTCGACTTGTTAGCTTACTTGTTACCGAGGTATCTAAGTAGGTCGACTATAATGTTAGCTTACCTGTTACCGAGGTATCTAAGTATGTCGACTATAATGTTAGCTTACATGTTACTGAGGTATCTAAGTAGGTCGACTATAATGTTGGCTTACATGTTACCGAGGTATCTAAGTAGGTCGACTATAATGTAGGCTTACATGTTACCGAGGTATCTAAGTAGGTCGACTATAATGTTGGCTTACATGTTACCGAGGTATCTAAGTATGTCGACTATAATGTTAGCTTTCCTGTTACCGAGGTATCTAAGTATGTCAACCATAATGTTAGCTTTCCTATTACCGAGGTATCTAAGTGTGTCGACTATAATGTTAGCTTACCTGTTACCGAGGTATCTAAGTATGTCGATTATCATTCTAGCTTAGGCCTATATGTATCTTGGTAGACTGTTTATTTATCTGTTACTGGTGTATCCTGACAGCTTAATGCTAATATTTGTTGTTGCTTTTTTCATGTTACTAATGGTACATCTAGACAGGTTGATGTTAATGTTAATTGTTTGTTACCCATAAATCCTGGCAGATTAATTATCATGCCAGTTAATCTGTTAACGATGTTTCTAGGGTCACTTGCAGTGTGATACTGACACTGTCCTGAAGCTGGCTGCAATTGTTCTTCAGGCCACTCACGGAGATTTCGCCAGGTAAGGACATTATTGTATCTTCTCTTGTTTGCTTTCATCGGTTAGTTAGCTGTGTATCATTACTTTTATTCCATGCGGATGGACTAATGTCATCCCCGCAACCCAACCCCGGTTACGCCCTATAGGCCAACCCCTCCCTCCCTAGACACTCAGTGTACGCTGTTGGCGTCAAACCCGTCCCTTTATTTTGCTCCTACCTGCGCGTTGGAGGTATATAGGCTGACCGTCATTCCATTGAACGAAGTTTTTTCGCCAGGGACACTAGATGAGTATCGTTTATTTTATACATTAGAGTCCTATGTAGTCACTTCATAGTTAGAGCCTATTTGTGTATGTGTACTGTGTTGTCCTTTATGTGCTGATGAAGGCTAATCGCCGCAACGTCCTTTGTTTCTTTATTGTGATCGATTTTGTAAAGCTAACATAAACTAATTGTTGTTTCTTACCAACTTTTTCTCTTCCCTATAATTTTCTACTCCTTATAAAAACTGTATCATTTACAGGACGTTGCAGAACCAACCCAAGCATTTTTTCGATATTGTGGTTTTTCTAGGCACATTTTATGTTCAGTAGTTTGCCATTGTTGTTGAACGATGAGCGCTCGGTACCACTGTCGAAAACAACGCAAGACAAATCGTCCACAGCTGGGATCGAACCCGGCACCCCGACATTAAGAAGCGCGTTCGCAAACCCTAAGCCAAAGATGCCGACGCTTTTATCAGTCCATGTGGTGAACTAAACAACGACAGTAAGCCATAGTAGGGAGCATGTTACAGCTTGGCCACAGTAACCGGATCTTATGAAACGAATGTCAAACACTTCAGTAAAGCAACGACTGAGTTGAAGTTTCATAAACGACATCCCAGCACGTGTTATGTTGTTTTTCGTCAGTCACAAGTGATGCAGATCAATTTTTCTTTCATCCATCATAAAACTATCGTTGACTGTGAGTCCAGAGGTGATTTATAAGTCCAAAACGGGCTCGAAAGGATCTAGGACAATAAAGACAAAGGGTCTGTCATACATGTCTTACTGGCCCGTCATCGCTGTTCATCTCCCTCGCCCCCCCCCCCCCTACTTTTTTTTTCTAGATGCCTAGAAAGTAACTTCGCCTTTTCGGATAGACGTTAAACGTTGGTCGAGTCTTGTGCATGAGTCTCCTAAGCTTCAGGGTTTATATTGAAGGTTTTAAAATATACCTTTAGCTTGTCCTTGAAGAGTTTTTCTGACCACAGCTTGCATTCCATCATGTAGTTGGCGTATAATCATGATTAATTTATTTGGGCCTCCGTATTTTGCGATAATCTTCCACAAACTCTCTACGTTGACTGAATCGAACTTTTTTGCGGGGGCATTGAAAGATCGCAATGCTGTTACTTAAATTTTCTTGTAACTACCTCTCAGCGAACATCATGTTTATGATTCCACGCTTTTTAAAAAAAAATCCACACTAGCTTTTGGGTAGCGGACCTCCTTCAAGATGTGTCGTAATGATATTTAGGAGTATTTTTTAGATTGATAGTGACGAGATACCCGGGTGATTGTTGGAGTCCTGGAGATCTCCTTTAAGCTTGAAAGATGTATTGTTGATGCGTCCTTGAGACATTGAAATCAGAAGCGACATAAAGACACTTACTGTAATAGCTAAAAGCTCCAGTTGTTTACTGCCTGCACATTAGTAAGTCAAATTACGTTCGATGGTTTCGACAGCCAGTTACTGGGCTGAGTGCATAGATTCCACGGGAAATGCTTATTGTCAGTACTGCCGGAGATATGCTGTAAACGACGGCTACCTTATGCATTTGATGCGTGTGCTAGCTATTTGATTTTGCAGGGGTTTGCTTTTTATCTATTCAAAGTGATGGGCATTTTGTGTGGTTTTCACTAGCACAGGAATGAGGCAATTACGAAGTGATCGGTTTGCGATTAAACTAGAGCTCCAACTGATAGCTGATTGATTACATACGAAGGGTGTGTTGTCAAAATAATGTCGCCGCCTTCAAGTCTCACACACATTTCTGGTTGCTTTCTCTCAGGCTGGATCGACCTAAGAAGCCAGGTCAGTGAAACAAAAAATGCTTACATTGACAGGGATTTGAAACATGACCATTGGGCCGCCAGGCAAGAGAATCTAGCAAAATTATTACAACTAAATTAATAACCACAAATGTGCAATTATCTGGAGGGTTTGTGAATTGACTGGGCACGGATAGACCCATCATGGCCTGTTTTGTCCAGGTGTCTGTTGCTTGGCTCTTAGTGACAGCGGATGCTGGTCAGAACAGTCTTATACAACATATGACAAGACATTCTGAGATACCTAACCAGGGTAACTCTTGACGTATCTAATCCAGGCCAACTGACAGACAGTTTTGTTAATCACCAATAATAAATCTGGTATAATTAAATCTACGAATACACCGTCCACATACGTTATCAACGAGCTCATAAAGACCCCATAATCAGTAAGATTCAGACCATAAGGCTGATACAGTGCAAGGCAACAGCAGTTTAGTACCAGGGTGAATAACTTAGTGTACTTAGTGGAACTTCCGATCAAAATAGATGATAGGCACGGTCACTGTTTTGAGTCATGGCAATTTTTTTTTTTTTACTTCTGCCAGACGGTAAAGTTGCATTTTTTGCTCCATTTGTAATCAGAAAAGATAAATTTTCGTCGCCCAGCTACTGAGTTGAGTGTATGGTGCGACCCTGTGAGCTGCGGATTTTATTTGGAGTGTTTTTCGACTGTGACCAACGTGGTCTTGTGAACTGTAGATTCAGAAAATAGCGCGTAGCCTGTCGTTGCAATATTGGTGGTGCCCTTGTGTTATTAAAATTATTCGCGTGTGCAACTGCTGATTTGTTGGTTACTTCTGCTACATTCGATGACTTCGGACTGTTTGTGTTAGCACTTCGGATCGCTACCGTATGTTTTTAATGTGTGTGCAAGCAAGTGCATATGCTGAGACAGCAGTCTGTCAATCTTTTCACAAGTGACTGGGATGAAGATTCTCTGTGTTTTTCGTTAGCACAGGATCGGAGCAATTATGTGGCGACCGGTTTGCTATGAAGCTGAAACTAACATTACCATTACATTACATTACTTAGTGTACATATTGTACACACAGCTGTAATGCTTGATTATTGATTATACTTTTGATATCGTAGTATTAAAATCGCCATATATCCTATTGTCTTCGTTGAATGTGACATGTGCTTAAGGGGTGAAATTATAATGTAAACACAGTTAACATGGCACGGTGACTGCAATGAATCGATGTGCTTTACTGATGAAAATGTAATGAAAATATGGGTAACATAGCAGGATGACTGCAAGGAATCGATGTGCTTAAGTTGTGAAAATCTAATGTAAATACAGGCACGACATGACAGGATTACTGCAATGAATCGATGTGCTTTAGTGGTAAAAATGTAATGTAAATACAGGCACGACATGGCACGGTGACTGCAAGGAATCGATGTGCTTTACTGGTGGAAATGTAATGTAAATACAGGCACGACATGGCACGGTGACTGCAAAGAATCGATGTGCTTTAGCGGTGAAAATGTAATGTAAACACAGGTACAACATTGCAGGATGACTGCAAGGAATCGATGTGCTTTACTGGTGAAAATGTAATGTAAATACAGGTACAACCTGGCAGGATGACTGTAAGGAATCGATGTGCTTTAGTGGTGAAAATGTAATGTAAATACAGGCACGACATGGCACGGTGACTGCAAGGAATCGATGTGCTTTAGCGGTGAAAATGTAATGTAAACACAGGTACAACATTGCAGGATGACTGCAAGGAATCGATGTGCTTTACTGGTGAAAATGTAATGTAAATACAGGTACAACCTGGCAGGATGACTGCAAGGAATCGATGCCGTGAAAGTATATGCATGGTAAGTTCAGGTTAAACAGTAAATCTAACATATTCTAAGTCGTCATCTATTATGTCTAGCTAGACTAACTGTCATCATTTTTCTAGTGTTCCCCTCAAAATTTAGTAGAGGCTTTTTTTCCAACACATATCCTTTTATGCTAACACGCTAATATCATCAACAATATTTCGGTCTAGAAATGTTTACAGTAAAAGCACTTACGTAAAAGTGATTTATGTAATCTACATTTTCAGTGAGCAGAAGACTAAAGATGGACTCAAAAAACTACCATTAATTCCCACTTACACTTTACAAGAGCATCCATCAATAGAATACTGGTACGTGTTTGTTTGAAAAGATCCCCTTGGTGATAAGGTGATAATCAATTATATCATGCTTATTCGTAGTTGTGTTCATCGTGTCATCTAGGTACACTTTATGCTTACACTTAGTGTCATCTAGTTGTTACACTTCATGCTTACACATAGTTGTATTCATTGTGTTATCTAGTTGTTTCACTTCATGCTCACACATAGTTGTGTTCATTGTGTTATCTAGTTGTTACACTTCATGCTCACACATAGTTGTATTCATTGTGTTATCTAGTTGCTACACTTCACGCTTACAGATAGTTGTGTTCATTGTGTTATCTAGTTATTACACTTCATGCTTACACATAGTTGTGTTCATTGTGTTATCTAGTTGTTTCACTTCATGCTCACACATAGTTGTGTTCATTGTGTTATCTAGTTGTTACACTTCATGCTTACACATAGTTGTGTTCATTGTGTTATCTAGTTATTACACTTCATGCTTACACATAGTTGTGTTCATTGTGTTATCTAGTTGTTTCACTTCATGCTTGCAAATGTATTCGAAGATTAGACCCTCTTTGAGAAACCATCTAAAGCATACTCACAAATATGTATGTTCATCAGACTCTGTCATGAAACCATACTGACAAATAAATTGTGTGTGTGTGCCATATATTTCAGTGAACAAAACGTGATTTCTCAGTATGGAAAACTAAGTGGAACTTCTCGGGGTCAAGCGATTGTCAAGTGAGTCCATAATGGGTCATTAAATTGTGTATTAATATCATCGAGTATTTTAGCTTAAGGGTTTGGTCATGTTGCATTCCATGGTGTCTGTCTTGTAACTGGCTTTCAATGTCATGAATGATTGCATTGATCGGTCTGGACTTTTTGGGCTGGCCGAGCGGTTACAACGTCAGGCGCTCATGCGAAAGACCGGAGTTCAACCCTCGGTAAAGTGATGGAGTTTTTCTGACGGTGACAAAATAAAAATCCTAACCATTGCGACAGCCCTAGCCAGGCGGCCCTAAATCCTCAGACTCAAGGACCCCCCCCCCCCCCCCCCCTCTTTTTCCCATCTACATCTACAGACAGTAGTGACCATTTTTTTTAAGCAGTTTATGAAGTAAAAAAGGGAGCATCTGAACAAATTAAAAACAAAAAGGTATGAATAGTCTCAAATATTACAGGCGTTACATAAAGGAGAACTCATAGAATCAACAGAAGTATATTCCAATGAACGTCAAGATACGCGTGTAAATGATGGTACATGTGGTAATGCTCTGCAAGTGAATCATTAAATCAAATAAGAGATGCCATCAGTTCTCTACACACAAAACACATTAATGTTGATCATGCTGCCGACTGTAACTGCAGGGCCCACCATTAGAGCGACCCTAAGTGCTATATCTAACTGTCACAGAAGCCCGGTTTGGGCAGACAAAAACACTTAACACCCCAAATCTGCTGTTTGTATGGCATTACTTTTTAAGAACTGACATTGAGAGAGCTCCCTGTGCTCAGTCTCCAGCAACAACTGTAAGATATGGATACGAATCGTTCCAGTAGCTAGCTGGCTGAAAACATGTCCCAGTGACCATCTGATAATGTTCTCCTTATTTCCACACTTGCGTATTCATACCTAAGGTGTTACATCCAACAGTATGTCTTCAAACGCCATTCAAGGATTAAATAACGAAAAGGACAAGATTTTAGCGATCTGTGTTATCACATTCAACATCAAATTAGTCCACCATCACCCTCAGTGTCAAGTATCGGTCTTCTTGTATCGATTCTCCTATTTTGGCAATGAGTTTATAATTATAAATAAAAATTCAGACTCCCTGCCTAGCTTCAACTTTAGTCGTTTCCAATTTGGAATCGTGACGACCACTTGCATTTCTGTGCGCCAGTAAACATTGATCCCTCTAAACTTTTCTCGGCAGTCTCAGAAGGATCTTTTCCAAGTTAAAATATAGTTTAATTTTCGCTCTCAGCCCTATGCTGCATGTGTAACAAAACCACTCTTACTCGTTGAAATTTAAAAAAAAAAAAGTGACACCCCCCCCCCCAAAAAAAAAGGGGGCGGGGGTGGCACTTTGGCCAAATCAAAAATAAAGGTTGCCTCTTTGGATTGCATGCTATGCTTTATAGATAGCGATTGTATTTTGACCGCAGTGCATTCAGCCTAATTATTTGATAGATGAACAGTGTAGGAAGCAATGATACAACTGTATTGAAAAGTCTACTGTTAAAGGTTGAAATTCACTCCTGAGAAAAATATTTATCCACACAGTTTGACAGCAAGGTTAAAGTTAAAATATTATTCTTGCCACGGGAAGACAGTGTTGATACCATATATCAGCCCACCGATCATCATATTTTTTTCTCTAACATAAAATGTTAGCACATTGTCTACAGCAGTGTAAATCATGTCTGTATTTAATCACATAATTCCTCATTCTTGTTTCCTCAGTTATATGTCGATCATTGAAAGACAAAAGACCTACGGCATTCATTATTTTGATGTGAAGGTACATTGTTGCAAATCATAATTTGGTCCGCAATTACATATTTAATTGCTAATTTTTAAATTATTAATGATCAGAATTTAAAGACAAGCTAGACTCAGGTGAAAAAAGAAGCCGATGTAACTACCTAAAAGACAATGGCAGTGAAAACATCAAGCGTACTGTGTGTGCTGCTTTACCACATGAAATGTAGTGTTTAGCAGTATAATTCAGGGCGGCTTTTCTGGCACTAAGCGGAACGCTTAGAATTTTGAGAGTATGAATCTGTGGCTACATACGGATGTGAGTCGTGGACTATCTCTCAGTCCTTAAGAAAGAGAATAGGGGCTTCTGAGCTGAAATGCTATAGAAGGATTCTCTGAATATGTTGGACAAAGAAGAGGAAAATTATTGACATCTTAAAAGATCTGAACATCAAGGAAGATTGGCTAATAAACAGCATCCTTTCTCGAAAGCTGAAATATTTTGGTCATATCAAACGCCACGACGGATTGGAAAAAATTAAAACAGAAGGCGTGGTACCAGGAAGGAGGGGCAGGGGCCGACCAACACGAAGATGGGCACAGGATATAAGTGACTCCTTGAGTGTGAAAGTGCATGAGGCGGGAGAACTGGCGACAGACCAAGTTTCTTTCAGGCAGACTGTGATGAGAGCGACGTTCTGCAAAGGACCTGCTACATGATGATGATGGTGAAGCGGAACACAGTATCGGCATCTTTCTGTTTAAGGCATCTTTTTATTTTCAGCGTTATGTTAATAAATCTTAGTAGTACATATTGTAGCACAACACAATACAGCAGCTATGTTTCAAATAGATTTTCAGAAAACGTGGTTTGTAAACATAAAATACTTAAACACACCAAACACATATGATTAAAAAATATTAACCATATAACAAAAAGAACAGTAACAAGTATGTTTTTCCCCTGGCGGTACGCAACAGTACTGGCACCTTTTAGGACTTTTTTTTATAGCCCTACTGTAAAAGAAATCTGTATAGTGAGGACCGACACGTTGTGGTGAGTTCCGATAAGAAACGTGCACATGTACATTGTGTCTGTTGTCTGTTGTAGCAGATTCTAAATAGATTGATACTAATACAATCTTCCTTTTTTAAAGTTCATACCACGTGACCTAGGTAGTCATGTTTATTTTAGTTTATTGATCAGACTTAATCGATTCATATGGTCTGATTTATAATTTACAAACTTGAATACATCAATGTGCCTGCTGAGACTAAGAATCTATGGTGTAAAGCACAGCCACAAGCGAGATGTAAACTACATGTATTTGTAATTTAGGTGTAACTCAATTACAGAAATATAAGCTGTGTAAGAAAGACAAATGTAATCCCTGGGCATCAACTTTCACGAGGCGGGAAGCTGACAGGAGAACACATGGCTTTCCTGCGTGTCGCAATGACAGTGACGTTTTGCAAAAGACCTGCTTCGCTGGGATAATAGGGAAGCTACGGAGGTGCGGTTTTTTCTAAACAAATGTAAGAAAACCATTTTCTTCAGGGAAGTTGGAAGGAAGAGAGGCAGGGAATTCCAAGAAAGCGACAGACAGTCTGGAATCACGGCAAGAAAACAAAAAGAACCACATATCTAAAAACTGATCGGAAGAGTATGAGACACAATGTTGCGGACAAACATGATGACCAGCACTACACGGTATGGACTATGGGAAGAGAATGACAAGGTTGTGCATAACACTGAGTGTCGTTGGGTCAACAGCTGTTGTTAAGTGACAGCTCCCTTCACCTTTGTCGGTCAGATGCAGTGACCTTCATGGTTGTCCAGTCAGTCCAGTTCTGCATTCAGGTCTTTCTGATCGGCCTCTTCTTCGCTTCCCCTCTAATGAGGTCTGTAGTATTATTTCTGAGAGGTCGTTAGATCTTCTTACATGCCTATTAGGAGCCCTCTGTCTGGCACTACGACATTTCCAAAAGCACACTCTGACATGGTTGAACCCTAGCTGCTCTGTTTTTCGCCTGAATCTCCTGCTCTTCAATTTCTCTGCTTTTTTCTCTCACCATTTCCTTGTTTCTCCCCTGCACCCTCTTTTTGGTGCTCGCTGAAGATAACGTCAAGCGCAGAGCACGAGCTTCGTAGCTCCAGCGACAATTCCTAAGAAATGATGGATGGAAGATGATCAATCACTGCTGCGTTGTGGAGACAAATAATATACACTGGTGTTTGTAGGACAAGAAAAGCATGCCCTGGTGGCTTGGGCTTAGCCCTAGTGGTCTGGCTGTCTACGATAAAGCTGACAAAACGTCGCCTAGAAAAGTAAGTCAGACATCTCGTGTTGTGTCTTGTCTTCTCTAGCACAAGTGTTTCTGACTTGCTTGTGCATGTGTTTGTGTGTGTGTGCACGCGCATATACGTCTGTGTGGTAAATGTATGTGTGGTGAATGTGTGTGTTTGCGCTGAGTGTGTATAAGTGTGTGTGTGCATGCATGCGTGCAGGCTCGCAGCCACGAATGCATCATTTGGGGGGAGGGGGGAGGGGCCTTCAGTGTGCTTACCTGCGTAAAAAAAAATTGTTATTGTTGTTGTTATCATTATTATTATTGTTGTTGTTATTATTATTACACTGTATGTTTTGTTACGAATAGCTCACAAATATAATAATATTTTTGAAATAATGTGAATATACAAATAAATAATTAAAACTAGAAAGTCCGTAGACGGTAATGGACACAGCTAACGGTCGGGTTTCAGCACCCTAAAGTTATTTAGGCGGAAGGGCGGGGGAGAAGAAAAGGGGGGGGGGGGGGCTGGTGGTCGGTCTCCAGCAAATAAATTGTTGGGTGGAGGAACCACACACATACACAGATACAGAGAGAGAGAGAGAGAGAGAGAGAGAGAGAGAGAGAGAGAGCGGAAGAGAGAGAGAGAGACAGAGAGAGACACAGAGAGACAGAGAGAAAGAGTGAGAGAGATAATTGATCGTTTCGGTCTGAACCTTTACGTCAAGGTACCAGTCTCCATGTTCCATCACCCCTATGTGTGTGTGTGTGTGTGTGTGTGTATGTGTGCGCAAGAGAGAGAGCGCGCGCGGAAGAAAGAGAAAGAGAGAGAGAGAGAGCGGAAGAGAGAGAGAGAGACAGACAGAGAGACAGAGAGAGGCAGAGAGAAAGAGGGAGAGAGAGATAATTAATCGTTTCGGTCTGAACCTTTACGTCAAGGTACCAGTCTCCATGTTCCATCACCCCTATGTGTGTGTGTGTGTTTGTGTATGCGCGTGTATGTGTGAAAGAGGTGAAGACACACACATACAGGCACTGAGAGAGAGAGAGAGAGAGAGAGTGAGAGAGAGAGAGAGAGAGAGAGAGAGAGAGAGAGTATTATTTGATTTGTAGTATGTTATAATGTTTACGCTACTCTATTTTTCCAATATTTACAACAACAGCAACAAAACAATTCTCAAAAAACGTTGATAAATGATTGTCGTTCACCACCACCACCACCATTATCATCGTCATCATCATCATCATCGCCCCAACAATCACTGTCACTCTCATGATAATCAAGATCATCATGTAATAATTACATCGTAGTTTCTTCTTCTTTCTTGTCATAAAGCCCCCCCCCCCCCCCCCCCCCCCCCCTTTTTTTTTTCTTTTTCGTCCCCTATAACATCCTCATTCTCGTAATGTGATATATTTCTCTAACACTGTCTGTGTGGACACCTTTTGTACAGATATTTAAGTGGAACGCTGTGGAGAATGTCTATTACAGAGACAAGAGATTTTCAATAGAAGTCCGCGGATATAAAAGGTAAGCATTCGTTCAGTGAAAACATTAAATAACACACGGTGAAGAAGTCAACAGAGTTAAGTATTAAATTGTAACATGTGGCGATACAAAACAGAGAAACAAGTGAGGTCAGCAGAAAGATGAACACATGAGTATATCTATCTATACGTGACGGTGATTTCTTGCAGATCTGTAGATGTGAAAAGATGGTTATGTGCTGTAAATTGTGAGGGGGCAAGACTTGCGTATTAGTGTAAAACTACGGATGTGAGGAGTGTATATATTCTATTGTAGAACTATAGATTTGGAGGGACTGTGAGTTTGTCGTAAATTATAAGATGGTGAAGAAATATTGCGTTTCAGTATAGAAATATAGACGTAGAAAAGTGAGGTATTTTGTGGTAGAAACGTAGATGCTGGGGAATGATGAGCTGTATCTGAGAAATGTAAAAGAATCATTGGTATGTAGAGATGATGTTTTGTGGAAGAACTGTTGGTATGTAGAGATGGGGTTTTGTGGAAGAACTGTTGGTATGTAGAGATGATGTTTTGTGGAAGAACTGTTGGTATGTAGAGATGATGTTTTGTGGAAGAACTGTTGGTATGTAGAGATGATGTTTTGTGGAAGAACTGTTGGTATGTAGAGATGATGTTTTGTGGAAGAACTGTTGGTAAGTAGAGATGAGGTTTTGTGGAAGAACTGTTGGTATGTAGAGATGATGTTTTGTGGAAGAACTGTTGGTATGTAGAGATGGTGTTTTGTGGAAAAACTGTTGGTATGTAGAGAGGATATTTTGTGAAAGAACTGTTGGTATGTAGAGATAGTGTTTCGGTAAAGAACCGTAGAGATTATGTTTTGTAAAAGAACTGTTGGTATGTAGAGATGATGTTTTGTGAAAGAACCGTTGGTATGTAGAGATGATGTTTTGTAGAAAATGTGTTGGTATATATAGAGATTATATGTTAAGTTGAGGAACAGCTGGTGTGTAGAAGTTATGTCATATGTGGCGGAGTTGTAGTCAGAATTAAATGATGTCTTTAGTTCTAGATCTTTTGAAATAGAGGATGATGTGTTGTTGTTGTTGTTGTTGTTGTTGTTGTTGTTAACTTTTTTTTTTTTTTTGTTGAAGATGTTTAAATACGGATGGCTGATTTTTTTCTCTTTTCCGGTAAAGTTTTTTTTTTTTTTTTAAATGTCTGAGAGTAAGCAAATACTTAAAATTCATTAATTGAGTATATAGTGAAATTACAGTAAAAGTTCAACGCGCAGTTTATTGACTAAGCTGACGTAAATGAAGCTTGAAATGTAAATATAAATTCTCACTTCAAGTTACATAAATACATAAAATCCTAATGTGTTTTTTTTCCCTTTAAGTTTTCATTATTCTAAGCATGAACATGTGAAACGCTGAATGATAATGCAGTCTAACTGTCTGTTGTATAGAGTGTACGCCAGGTACAGAACCGTGGAGGTCAGTAACATAGAGGTTCATACATACTTCACTAGCACTGAACAACTGACCAAATGTATTTGGTCCATGGCTATAGACCAACACCGATTCCACCTGGACTGCAGGCGGAGCTTGGTGAGTTGTCCAGTTTCATTATTTCAGTATCCACAGCTTTGTTACACGATTGACTTGATACGCTTAAATACTTTCTGGTTTTAGTTCAATTTGATCTTTCAATCCTGCTAGAGTACTTCCAATATTTCTTCTTCTTTATGTTCATCGGCGGTAAACACTATATATATTATGTCTTCGTGAGTTACCTGTCATTTTAACTTACTATTGTTTTCACTTGACAGAACCATCCCCAGACAGCTGGGAGTATAAAAGAGATTTACTGTTATTTTCACTTGACAGAACCATCCCCTGACAGCTGGGAGTATAAAAGAGATTTACTGTTGTTTTCATTTGACAGAACTATCCCTTGACAGCTGGGTGTATAATAGAGATTTACTGTTGTTTTCACTTGACTGAACTACCCCTCGACTGTTGGGAGTATAAAAGAGATTTACTGTTGTTTTCATTTGACAGAACTACCCCTCGACTGTTGGGTGTATAATAGAGATTTACTGTTGTTTTCATTTGACAGAACCATCCCTTGACCGCTGGGAGTATAATAGAGATTTACTGTTGTTTTCATTTGACAGAACCACCCCTTGACAGTTGGGAGTATAATAGAGATTTACTGTTGTTTTCACTTCACATAACCATCCCCAGACAGCTGGGAGTATAATAGAGATTTACTGTTGTTTTCACTTGACAGAACCATCCCTTGACAGCTGGGAGTATAAAAGAGATTTACTGTTGTTTTCACTTGACAGAACCATCCCTTGACAGCTGGGAGTATAAAAGAGATTTACTGTTGTTTTCACTTGACAGAACCATCCCTTGACAGCTGGGAGTATAATAGAGATTTACTGTTGTTTTCATTTGACAGAACCATCCCCTGACAGCTGGGAGTATAAAAGAGATTTACTGTTGTTTTCATTTGCCAGAACCACCCCTTGACAGTTGGGAGTATAATACAGATTTACTGTTGTTTTCACTTCACATAACCATCCCCAGACAGCTGGGAGTATAATAGAGATTTACTGTTGTTTTCACTTGACAGAACCATCCCTTGACAGCTGGGAGTATAAAAGAGATTTACTGTTGTTTTCACTTGACAGAACCATCCCTTGACAGCTGGGAGTATAAAAGAGATTTACTGTTGTTTTCACTTGACAGAACCATCCCTTGACAGCTGGGAGTATAAAAGAGATTTACTGTTGTTTTCATTTGACAGAACCACCCCTCGACAGCTGGGAGTATAATAGAGATTTACTGTTGTTTTCATTTGACAGAAACATCCCTTGACCGCTGGGTGTATAATAGAGATTTACTGTTGTTTAATTTGACAGAACCATCCCTTGACAGCTGGGAGTATAAAAGAGATTTACTGTTGTTTTCACTTGACAGAACCATCCAGCTTATAATAGACAGCTGTTTTCACTTGGAACCATCCCTAGTATAAAAAAGAGATTTACTGTTGTTTTCACTTGAAAGAACCATCCCTCGACAGCTGGGAGTATAATAGAGATTTACTGTTGTTTTCACTTGAAAGAACCATCCCTAGACAGCTGGGAGTATAATAGAGATTTACTGTTGTTTTCACTTGACAGAACCATCACCTGACAGCTAGGAGTATAATAGAGATTTACTGTTGTTTTCATTTGACAGAACCACCCCTTGACAGTTGGGAGTATAATAGAGATTTACTGTTGTTTTCATTTGACAGAACCATCACTCGACCGCTGGGAGTATATCAGAGATTGCCACACGTCTCAGTAAAAGTACTACGTCATTACCTGAATCCCTAGACTCTGGTCTTACCCACAGTTGCAGCTCACACAGTTTCACCAGCCTCTCAGGCTCTACATATGGATGTAAGTACTCGTTGTATCACCGCGCGCCCTTTCACCAGCCTCTCAGGCTCTACATATGGATGTAAGTACTCGTTGTATCACCGCGCGCCCTTTCACCAGCCTCTAAGGCTCTACATATGGATGTAAGTACTCGTTGAATCACCGCGCGCCCTTTCACCAGCCTCTCAGGCTCTACATATGGATGTAAGTACTCGTTGTATCACCGCGCGCCCATTCACCAGCCTCTCAGGCTCTACATATGGATGTAAGTACTCGTTGTATCACCGCGCCCTTTCACCAGCCTCTCAGGCTCTACATATGGATGTAAGTACTCGTTGTATCACCGCGCGCCCTTTCACCAGCCTCTCAGGCTCTACATATGGATGTAAGTACTCGTTGTATCACCGCGCGCCCTTTCACCAGCCTCTAAGGCTCTACATATGGATGTAAGTACTCGTTGTATCACCGCGCGCGCGTGTATGTGTGTGTGTGTGTGTGTGTAAGAGAGCAAGAAAGGAGAAAGAGAGACAGACACAGATGGAAGGACGGACGGATAGACAGACAGTCAGACGGACGAATGGACAGACAGACCGACCGACAGACAGAGAGACAACATCGTGAATTTTATATAACAATGTAACCGAGATAACGGTCTTTATTTGAATAGCGAAAGCGAAAGTAAAATAAAAGACAACGGTAATTACATCCCCCTCATCCACACATGCACACACACAATATCCTATAGAAAGATACATAATAGTAAATAGACAAAACCGAAGGAAATCTGTGGTATTTGGTTGCCTGGATTCTCACAGATGGAAGATATATCTATTTTAGAAGTTAAATGTTGAACAGTCCAGCGAAAAATAGCAGTTAATGGGATGAAGAACATTCTTTCCACTACATCTTTGATAAACAATCGTCGCCCCACCCCTCCCCCTCTCTCCCCCTGGTTTGTTTTCTAAAGTTTGTGATAGTCCCCAGATGACTTCCTACACCCGCTCAATTTGTGGATAAAATACATAAAGATGTCAATAACTTTCATTCTACTGCTACTTCTTTTTTACAAATTTATTCTCGTTGACGTCTGAAAGTGTACGAAGAAGAAGATATAAGCACTCTAAGTTACTTTGCTTCATATCGTAGCCTTCATACTAGTAAAACGTTATCGACAACTGCTCAATGCGATAATAATTTCCTTGTTCCTGTTAACTCTTCCAGTAGCATATAAAGTTTTTGAGTGAACTAATACATGCTTGTGTCAGTATGAGTTGAATTATTAACTAGGGAAGGGTTAGAGTGGGGGATTGGATTGGATTTTTTACCCCACCAGGACATCACACAAGCGATAAACACCCGATGACACAAAGTGCCACCATGCGGATGAGGATCACCGTGGAGAGGTCCCAGAAACCGCGTTCAGACATTTGGCCATAATGATGACCTGCCTATATTGCGGCCCCTGGCAAAAGCCAGAGTGGGGCTTCAAATAACAAAAAATAACGTCCTAAGAAGGACGAAAAGTAGTATGTCAAGAGTGGGGGAGGGGGTTACGAATAACAGATGAACAGAGTGAGTTAGTGTAACAAGGGAATGAATGTGGCATAACGCGGAGACAAATATATAATATAAGTAACCCCTCCCCCCTACCCCCATGAAGAAATGCTTGGTGTTGAAGGAGTTAATGCTGGCTGTCTGCTTCTGTTTGTTGCGATTGGGTACAATCCGTACACACATGACCTGGTTGTTTCAAACGAAGTGATCTGACATTGTGCAATCCCACCGGCAACTGGGACACAGACTGAAACATGCCGAACGTGTTTCAACACACGTTCTTACGGCGTCTTGTGTACAAGGTGAACAAGATGGGGGCCGATGTACATATTCTTCCGGTCTCAAACAGTGTATACACCGGCAACAGTGTTGTCCCTGTAGGCAGTCTGAACGTGCTCTATGCTACATTGTGATTACAGTCTGAACCTTCATGTGTGCTCCAAGTCTCAGACACATATTCATAATCTACACTGTGCTCCTAGTCTATGACGTGTTCTTTGACAAGTGGGCCCCTGGAAAGTCTTTGTAGTCCGCGCCAGAAAACGTCTGCTTAATCTTGTAAAGAGGTGGGGCACGTGGTTACTGATTGTTCTCTTACAGTCTGTTGGATTATCACCTCATGGACTTAGTATTTGAGTGAAAAGACTTTCTCAAACATAATGATAGAAACCAAATAGAGAAATCGAAATGAATATTATTGTAGCGCTTCATATATAAGAAAGAACGCTCCAACCATCTGTATCAGAGTTTTAAATCTATAAGCAAAAACAGCGGATATCGCATTATCTGAAAAGTGTAATTTTGTGACATCGGAATTAACTATGGCCGCGATACAGTTTCATTCATTCATTCAGTAGCATGTCCCTCGCGGAACCTCGCTGCCATAACAACCCTCCGGAAAACCTTCCTATCATGAGCAAGATGTCCTGCGTCTGATACATCTGCCACATCCTGCACCCATCTTCTCCTTGGCCTTCCTCTTCCTCTCTTCCCAGGCATATACCCCTCCATTATTGTTCTCTCTAGACCTCCATGACGTTTCAAGTGACCAAAATATTTCAATTTTCTTTGTTTTATTGTCTTTACTAGCCAACCCTCTTCAATATTCAGCTCTTGAAGTATGGATGCATTTGTTCTTTTCTTTACCCAAGATATTCTTAGAACCTGTCTGTAACATTTATATTCAAATGCATTTATGCGCTGTTCCGCTTGTTTAGTAAGTATCCAGGTCTCACAGGCGTATGTTGCAATGGGAAAGATGCATGCTCTTAAAAATCTGACCTTTGTAATTCTATCTGTACAATTCCATAATTTATTCAGTTGTTTTAGTCTTTGAAGAGCAATTGATAGTCGCCGTTTAATTTCGTTCATTGTGTCACCATTGTTGGTAACCAGTGACCCAAGATGCGATACAGTTTACACTGTTTTAATGGGCAGCAGGTCTATAAAGGTTGCTGAATACTGGTACCGGACATAGTGTAATGGGCTCCCAGTCTAGAAAAGTGTGTACATCATCTTTAATTGTGTTTCTGGACCGTGATTGTGTAGTCTTTGTTCCTGTTCCTGGTCTAGGACCGTGATTGTGTAGTCTTTGTTCCTGTTCCTGGTCTAGGACTGTGATTGTGTAGTCTTTGTTCCTGTTCCTGGTCTAGGACCGTGATTGTGTAGTCTATGTTCCTGTTCCTGGTCTAGGACCGTGATTGTGTAGTCTATGTTCCTGTTCCTGGTCTAGGACCGTGATTGTGTAGTCTGTGTTCCTGGTCTAGGACTGTAATTATGTTGTTTGTCTTTGTTTGTTTTCCTGATCTGAGACAACGAGTAAATCATCTTTTATTGTTTTCTTAGACTAGGCCCATGACTGCGTCATATTTGTTTGTGTTCCTTGTCTACGATAGTGAGTAAATAATCTTTGATTGTGTTCCTGATCTAGGACAGCGAATGAATTATCTTTGATTGTTTTCCCGATCTAAGACAGTGAGTAAATCATTTTTGATTGTGTTCCTGATCTAAGACAGCGAATGAATCATCTTTGATTGTTTTCCCGGTCTAAGACAGTGAGTAAATCATCTTTGATTGTGTTCCCAGTCTAAGACAGTGAGTAAATCATCTTTGATTGTGTTCCCAGTCTAGGGCAGTGAGTGAATCATCATCGAGGTGTCCAAAGAGAAGCGCAAGTTAGCTTGCGACTTAGCTAGGTCGTATTTGATAAGGACTCGCAAAAGACATGCAGCCTAAAACAGCAGGAAACAGAGGAAGGAAGTCTGAGTGTTGGTGATAAGATTCTGCTGTTGCTGTAATCTGATCGGAACACGCTCAAGATCACTTGGCAAAGACCATACAAGGTACTACACAAGATCTCGACAACCAACTACAGAATCAGCATTAAACGGAAGTAAAAGGTATTTCCTATCAAGTTACAAAGGCGATATAATACACATAGTGAGACACCACTGCTTGAACTGCTAATCTTATAGACCTGAAATGATCGTCCTACGTGTTTCCTAGACGGAAGTCAGTTGTAGACATCTTAGAAATCCCATGAATCACTACCGAGGAGCTGGTGTACTTATTGACTGTCACGACATTGGAAATGCGTGCCGGCACTACGATTTCTAGAGAGTTATGATTATGCACATAGTATATCAGTCATCACACGGTGTAGCCCTTTCTTTTGTAGACGTTTCTGTCACATGACGGTAAAACTAGCAACCCTATATATTTTTTTAATGCCTTATTTAAAAAAATCATGCTCTCCCCTGTGTCCCATTTCCAATTTTTGTTGTTGTTGTGGTAACATGTCTATATATCGGGGTAAACAATTCAAACTGCAGTTTCTTGGAAATCGTCATTAATAATAATATTTTAGAAAGTGTTAGTAGCCCTTTATGTTTAGATAGAAGTTATCTTATATAGTTCAGATAGTTCAAGGACATATACTGTCTCTGGGGAATTGCTTGTACTTGAAGAGGACAGGATGTAAGGTCAGTACGCGAAGCACCATGTAACCTTAAGCAATGCATCGGTCTAATCACTCCTAATTTTACCATGGCGGGTTGGTACCTCACCACTTGTACTCCTACTGAGCGGTGGGGTTGGTGGCAGGGGTGTCAAATTCACTTTTCTAAATCAGACAGTTACATGTGCCATCGGAATTGGAAGTCTTCGTTTGCTGCTGCAGATGTGGACGGAGCGCTCATAGGAGTGCCCCGAGTGCTATTATGTCGATTCTTAGTTCAACATTCAACTTCACTTTTCTGAGAAGCTAGAGATAAGGAAGATCGTTCTGTTTGTGTTAAGTTTTTACATCGTATTGCCAGCTGTTAAAACAGGCAGGAGTGTATTCAAAAAAGATTTAGCTAAGACCCACACGTGTGATGCTTTGGATACAGTAAGTCTGTACTTTCCTCATGCCACGTTCTCTCTACCACCTCAAGAGGTCCAGCTATGGGTCTCCCGAACAACAGACT